GTCTCTTTTACAAACTCGATTTTAATAGGACGACAAAAATGTGTAGACGATGGACGATTATTTTCCCAAATAACTTCGTCAGTATTCAAATCATATAGTTTTATTGGGACTAAACTAATTATAAAAATACTAGAATCGTTTTCAAATGTATTATTGGAATCTATTTGTTTATAGTTACTTTGTCCAGATGCTCCGTCACATCCCCATTTACTTATTAGAACTAATTTTTTATATACAATTTCATTTTGGTTTTTCTGGACGGTCAATAAAATTCTCGAAACAGTATGGTCTAAAAGAGCTTGTAATTGAATTTTCGCGCCAGAACTAGTCACATGTATAGACTCCTTTTCTGGATAACAATCATTTTTTGCCTGTTGAATTTTATAGTACGATGGATAGTAATTTATACCATCTTTTAATAGACTATTCCGTAAAATATTGTACTGATATTTAGACAGTTTTAAAGAAATAATCATTTATTTATTTATTTATTTATTTATTTATTTATTAATTAATCAACGCCTGTTAGGGCAATTTTAACAAAGGTAAAGCAATTTTTGAAACACCATTATAACATTTTTTTTATACAATTAGTTTAGGAAAAAAAAAAAAAATTCACAGAATAAAGTATAATTAGGATTGTAGCAGTGTTGGTAACTAGAACTAACCTAAGAAAAGGTGGTAGACTCATTTGCCAGACGCATTAGCCTGTCCATGGGGCGATTGCGACTATAATTGGAGGTACGAAAGGGGATGACAAATGGTGCAGTGGAACGTGTGGAATGTTGAGGTACACGAAATTTTATGCAGGACAGGAGAGTAGGTGCATCATATGTACCATCAATAATTCGCTGAAGGAATTTAAGATTTACATTAGCTCTTCTGTCAGCTAGGGTATCTAGGCATAGTTCACGTAGGACAGGTGTGTAGTCGTGAATAGGGTGGTTGATTTTCAGGACACGAGCTGCAAAGTAGAGGAAGAGCCTCTGAACACGCTCAATAATTAATGAGTCAGATGCAGTGTAGGGATCCCATAGTACGCAAGCGTATTCTAATAAGGGGCGGACTAGAGAGCAATAGAGAGTTTTTAATGAGAGGGACAGTTTAAAATCGGATGAAACACGTCTTATAAATCCTAACATCTTATATGCTTTGCAACCGATCGATTGAAGATGAGGGTGGTAGTTAAGATTACTGGTGAGAAGAACCCCTAGGTCTTTTTTACTTGTAACAGATTCAAGCACAGTATCATTGATGGTATAGTTGTGAACTATGACATTTTTGCTGCGATAAAAAGACATTGATTGACATTTGCTGACATTTAAGAGGAGGCCGATAGAGTTTATCCATATAACTAGATTATTGAGTTCGACTTGCAGTGCAAGACAGTCCTCCGTAGATTCAATTTGGCGAAAAATTTTAATGTCATCAGCAAAGGCGAGGAAATTACAATTAGGGATGATTTTTTTTATTTCATTGATGAATAATGCAAAAAGAACGGGTGAAAGATGGCCACCTTGGGGAACTCCCGAGGTGATAGGAAGGACCTCAGACTTACATCCATAGATTTTTACAAATTGGAATCTACCGGACAGATAAGATTTGAACCATGACAGAAGAGGTTCGCCAAACCCAGATTTGTAGAGAAACTCGGAAAGGAAGTTGTGGTCAACTCGATCGAAGGCTTTGGCGAAATCAGTAAAGATTACATCAACCTGGGATTTATTATCGAATGCTTCTAATACAAAGTTGTTAAAGACAGTTAGGTTCATAGCTGCGGAGCGCCCTGGTCTAAAACCATATTGTTCATCGATTAAGATTGCATTAAGAGATGGCTGTATGTTAAGTAAAACTAGAGATTCAAATAATTTCGCTATATGACTTAGTATGGAGATGGGTCTGTAGTTTCTAACGTTCGATTTGTCACCAGACTTGAAAATGGGAGTAACTGAGCTTAATTTCCAGATCGACGGGAATATACCTTCGTCCAAAGAACGCCTAAATATCTGAAATAGAGGAACACACAGAAAAGACTTAAGGTTATATAAGAAAGTACCTGGTAGACCATCAGGCCCAGTGGAATTCACATTCTTTAATTTAGCAAGACCAGCCTCAACGTCAGCTACACTAAAATTGCAATTACTTGGCAATTCGTAATATAAGAAGGGGAAGTCATCTGGATAGACAGGAGAAGGGGCAGTAAAAACGGAATTGAAATAGGATGAGAATAAATTAGAGACGGGGACAGAACCAGAACTAGTGCATTCATCAAAGTATACATTTTCAGGAATATCGCTGTTAGATTTATTTTTACGAACAAAGTCCCAGAATGATCGTGGATTGTTTATGAAGTTATTTTCGGTGCGTGTTAGGAATGCTTTATAACAGCGTTTTGATTCAAATTTATACTGTGCACGGAGGTTAGAGAAGTGAGTGTAATCTAGTGGCTTATTGGAGGACCTATAGACCGCGTGTGCTTTCTTTTTTGCGAGAACAATGGATTTTAGATCTTTTGAGAACCAGGAGGGGAACTTGGACTTAACGTATCTGTTCTTAGGTACAAATTGTAGGATAGAAGAGTGGAGGGCATCGTAAAGTGCATTTGTGGCTGAATCTACGTTAAGATTGTTAATGGTTTCAGGCCAGTTGAATGAGTTTAGAAAATTAAGTATTTTTGGGTATGAGGTTTTCCTGAAGTTAAAGTAGGTATGTGACTTATCGAGAGAAGGAGTATCTGTTAAAATTGGAAGAGAGATGTCAAGCGCAGGGTGGTAAGAATCGGAGGGCACGACATTAGATGAAGATTTATCGATGTATATGTTTTTGTTGTTAGAGAAGACGAGATCAAGATGTTTACCTTGATTGTTAGACACGTTATTTAGCTGGAAGAAATTTAGATACGAGAAGGTTTCGGGAAGACAGTGACTTGATGGAGAGGAGTATAATAGACCATAGTTATCATTGGACCATGAGATGTTTGGTAGGTTGTAGTCCCCGCAAAATAAGAATGTGCAGTTAGTATTAGCTAAAGCAATAGTTTGAACGGATGATACATGAGATTCATATATGGTTAAGGTACTGCTAGGTGGAATATAAACCGAGGAGAGAATAAATGAGATGTTCTGAGTAGAGAATTTAACGAATAGGTGTTCAACATTGGTGGAGGAGGGTGATATGCGTAGGCAGCGTATATCTTTACGGACAGCAATGAGAGTACCACCACCTCTACGTAGACTACTTGTAGATGGATTTCTGTCACATCTAAATATGACGTAATTTTCCAGGCCTAGTTCATTGTCACCAATACTCTCACATAACCACGTTTCAGTTAGACAGATAAAAATATAATTAAATACAGCAACATTACATTTAAAAATAGTGAGCTTGGATCTAAGACCCCTACAGTTTTGGTAAAAACCAATGGGTACCTGCGCTTTGTTGGGAGTATTAGGTATGTCTACAAGAGTATGGTGAATTAGATTGGAAGTGAGGGAGTATCTGGGTTGGATATTTAATAAACCATTTTTAAGGAGTTGGTGGTATGTTCTAGACGAATGTATACATAAATTACATTGGTTGGAGGGGGGTAGAGGCAAAAAACAGCTAAAATTAGACAAATGAGAAAATTTACATGATGAATTATGGTTATTAATGTGTATGGCTGCTACTTCTCTGAGTTTTTTGACTGGTGTGATATGTTGGTCCTGGCTGGAACAATCTTGGGTAATCCATTGAAGTAACGGATTGAGATGTTGGATTCACCCTTTTCTTGTCTATCACGTAGTTCCTGATGTACTTCATAAATTGAACGTCTTTCGGAGGGTGTGCGATCCCTGGTGATAGATACCTGGGAATACCCGTCAGGAATGTTGGAGCGAAGACGTAGAAAGGATATTACTACATGGTTCACCTCCTCCTGAGAGGTGAATTCTACTTTTAATAGTCGTGGTTTGTCATTGATAATCTTTCCAACCCTAAAAACTTTGCGAATTACCGTTTCAGGCAGTTTGGGCTCAAGTTTATCCAACATTTCTTTGACAAATGTTTTGTCTGCTGAGGAGGAAGAGGCAGATGTATTGACAGATGACTCAGGTACACCACGAATAATGATGTGAACAGCACAACGGGATCGTAGCTGGATTTCATGAGTAATGTCATTCAGAGCAAGAGGAGTAGTAGTAGGTGGTGGACAATGCACGGTTTCGGACAAGCTTTTTTCTACTGCAGCGATTCTTGTATTTAATCCTCCAATAATTGCACCTTGCGACTTTACATCGCTTATTACAGTATTTAAATTTCCGTTTAAGGTGTTCATCGCTTGACTAAGTGACGTCATAGTTTTAGCTTGCCCCGAGACTCTATCGTTTAACGCTTTAACCGAGGAAGAGATAACCTTTAGAGCTTCGTCGGATTTGGATTGGTTAGATTTGATAGATTTTAATTCTTGCAAAATGAGGTTGAACTTGTCGTCGGTACTTGTTTGACTGGGGAGGGAAGTACAATCGTTACAGATCCATTGTGAATTATTTGAAGTATCATTGACACAGGAAGAGTGGAAAAGGTTGTTGCATTTGGGGCAGCATGTTGTGGGTTGATCACGTTGTAGAAGTTCCGTACAGATTCCGCAGTTAGTACGACCCATTTAGGGAGTATTACCCCTTTGGCAGATTGAAACGCAACACAAGTTGCACAACGGTGTGACAGAATTATAATAACTATAAGGTTTGAATAGGATGGTGTGTCGCAAATGTGGTAGACGACCGTTAAAGTCACCAGATAAAAATCGGTGGGCGGGGATATTGATATGTTGGACAGCTGTTTATAAGAGTGATAGTAGATAACTCGATAACTTACTCAGGCGAGAATGGTGTGACGACGGAAGAAAAACTTGAAGCAATATAGAAGTTGACAGAAGCAAACGAGATGCAACGACTCACGTAGAAACTTAAGATCACTATGAATGCAAAAAGTACAAGTAACTATTAAAGAGATAAATATTACTATATAAAACTTAATAAAGAAAAAAGAGCTACTGTAGATAGCAGCTCTGTTATCATTTTTTTTGTCATACCAAGTGCTTTATTTTTCGAAAGCGTGTCTAAATAAATACTATTTTTTTCACATGTTTTTTTAATTCTGTTTGCTTCACTGGGGTTTTCAATTAAATAATTTAAAATTGAAGCCATATCATTTTTACCCTCAGTTTTACATTTAAATTTTGCCGCATGCAGAAGTTCATCACTCGAATAATTATTTCTTAGTGATTCAGTTATACGATTTTTATGTCTATCAGAATAATTATTAAATTTTGTTTCATTTAAGTTTGAACCTCTATTAGGAGACACATTTTTAACACGAATTTCAGATGCGAAATCTTCCGGCAATATATAGTTTTGCATAAGCCACGTATCGTGTTTATTCAAAAATCGAATTTCATTATATGAAGCGCTAACCCATTTTTTATGTAAATTATTACAAAAATATCTCAGTGACAATTCTAATGATTTGAGGGCACCTTCAGAAATCTTTACTTTAGTAAGTTTCAAAATTTCAGTTTGAAGAAATAAATGATTAGTAAGATTAGTTTTCGAGCGCTTCAATAGTAAATATAAATTATTTTTGGTTCTAATGGACTCCATTGTACAAACTATTAATATCAAAAAAAAAATCTTACCGAAAAGTTCTGTGTTAGACGTAGGTATGTTGAATGTGAAAAATATATATGATGACTGATTAAAAAATCAACTCAGTCGACGCGCAAGACGAGACAGAATAAAATGTAATACCTACAGGTACCGCAAACACCACTCATATTTATTATCGTAAAATGTTAATTAATTCAAGGGTCGGACAATGTCGGATAAACTAATAACAGAAAAATCAAGTCAACTAGTTTGATAACCAGCTCCAATTTATTTCAAATCGACAATAGTTGACAATTTTTCTTAATCTCCATTTAAAGTATACATTTGCATACAATTTATCTTCATAATTATATTTTATTTTTAAAGTTTGATAATTAATTTAAGGTGTTTAAAAATAGTACAATAGTTATGAATAGTACACATATTATGTAAATATACCTCATTATAATTATTTTAATGATTAAAAGTGATATTATAGTACCTAAAAAGTGAACTTTTAACTTTTAATACTATAATATAATAATAATAGCAATTTCTCTATAAAAATTATTTATTGAATATGACGATTTTTGTTATATATTAAATTTACTTGTATTTTCATCAAAAACATTTTTAGTTAATAAAATCATTAAATAAACTACTTGAAAATACATTTTTATCATTTTCAATTAAAAATTCAATGACTTACATTTTAGTACAATGTCCGATATTGCCGCTTCCGCGCTACACTGTGCGGCACCCCGCACCGATATCGTGATCAACTTGCCCGGTGGCATATTACCATTCTGCACACGAAATAAAACCCATGATTAAATCCTGCCTTCTGATTGGTTTACACATTTGGTGGGAAAATTTAAATTGATGATAATAATATGCATATAAGTTATGAATTATTATTTCTATTATTATATGATGTAATGTTTTTTACCTTTGTAAGGGCCAAGGTACCTAACCTTATTTTAAGCAGGTAACTTAAATACTTATAGGTATTTATTTTTGCTATACTTTATCAACTGACATTATATTGATTTATTACAATAGTCTTATATAATGTAACGTTCATTATTTAATGTATTTATGCATTAATTTTGTGTAGGTATATTTAATACAAGTTCTAACATAACATTTTTTAAAAATATTAAAATATTATATCGTATATTAAGTTTGGTACCTATAGCTACATTCTGGAAATAGACAATGGTGTCTTTGTTATTGCACATATTTTGAAACTAAAAAAAGTAATAACTGTAAGAAACACATTTTAACATACCCATTCTAATTTGTCCTAGACAAAAGATATTTAAATCTTAAACTTTTTTTTTTTAAACATTTATTTCATAACAATGTAGTAGACATATTTATTTTAAACCCCCAATTGATAAACCTAAGCAAGATAAAATACAAAAAAATTGTATTCATATAAGGTAGGTACTATTAAACTACTACTATTTGAATAAGTATGTATGCTATTTTGTTTTTGTTGAATAAATTATTATTGTTATTATAACAGTTTAGTGTAATATTATTTAGAATGGGTAGGTATTTTTAGAACAAATTATGCTTATTATATGATAACATGATAATTATATTAAATGATATGTAATTAAAAAATATATTTTGTTACACAATAGAGTATTTAAGTGTTTTTAGTTTATGAGTCCTGGTTCATTTTTTTATTTTAATCCTACATTTCTTAAAATAAAATTATGATTCTTAAATTAACTTCTGATAATCTCCCTTCATCATTTAAAAACATTATAACTGTAATTAACGATGATATTACAACAATACGGTCAAATGTAAATGATTTATTGAGTATGGCCAATTGGATAGAAGAATTTTCTTTTAAAACTTGTACTAAATGGAATGTTAGGACATCTGTCCCTAATGGTAAATACATTCAATGCAGGTTAGTCACCTTATTAACTTTTTTTAAATCAGTTGCAAGTATAAAAATGATTTCCTAACTGTATGTTATATGTTATTATTATTATGTATCTCAGAAAACAATATGTGTGTCATCACAGCTCTTACCACAAAGTTGATAGAGAAAACAACAAAAGAGGTCGATCAAAAAACACAAGCTGTAAAGCCACAATTAAAATTGTCATTAAAGTTGATACTGTTTCCACGAGGAAAACAGACCCATTTGTAAAAGTAAGAACAAGTTTTTTTTACTAGACCTTCTTATGATTCAATGTTCACCCAGTTAACCTATGTATTCTGTTTGTTAAATATTTATTTTTTACCTATTATAATATTTATAATTAGGTTTTGTTATTCATTTATTACTCCTTATAATAAAATGTATTTATATATTTTAATTAATGGCACTTATAATCAATTTATGGTACCATTTAAATGCATTGTTAAATATATTACAGGATGGATTACTAGCTGTAATCACAATTTTTAATGAACATAATCATAATTTAAACACTGCTGAAGCACTGAGATACTTAAGTGCAAACAAGCACATTAGAATGAAGTTTGAAGAATATTTCACAGATGGTATGACCATAACAGAAGCAATTCGGTGAGTTGTTTTTTAATTATTACTTATGAAAAAGTACTAGAACTAAAGTTGTTAGGTATGTTTTGTTGTCTTGTTGATTCATCTTGTAATAATATTGTTTTAAAAAATAATAATGTATTGTTGATAATAAAAGCTCTGTATTTTTAATTTTTAATTACTTACACATCCAATTTACCTATAAAACTATTTTAATATTTAAAATAATCAAAATGGGTTTATATTTTTAACAATTCGGTTTCGGCTTCTTTACTTTACAGGTATCATGAAAGTGTTCTAACTATATCTGATTGTCCTGTTGAAGTTTTTGCAAATGCTGGAATTAATCCAACATACAGAACGATACAAAATTGGCATGACCAATGGAGGGTGTTAAATCTAGGACCACGTACTGGAGAAGGAGTTATGAAGGTATCAATATTATAATTAATAAATAAAATAGTTAGGTATCCACTCTTTAGATGCATAAACAATACTTTGCTTTATTTTGATACTTAAAATGTTTTTAAAAAATTCTAATACATTTATAATAAATATTGGCAATATTTTCAATATTTAAAATGGACATAACATTAGTTTAAATTTTACTTTAAATGGTATATTACATTGACATATTTTATAGTTAATTTAATCTTTCTTTACAATTTAAATGTAGGTATACATAACATTATAACAATTAATCAGAAAATGTATATATTTATCTTCAAAGTTAGTATAAAACCTAAAGAATTACATGTGTCTATAAATTTGTTGCAATATCAAGTTCACCTCCAGTCATGATTTTTTTTTGTTATATATAGTTTTTTTTATATCTTAATTCCAAATAAATATAATGTAAAATTGATGAAACAAATGGTTCAAAAGTTATAGCGTTAAAAATTTAAAATTTGTGACTGGGTTTTAACTTTTAAACATAACGTAGGCCTATCATTATAACTCAACTAATAGTCACTCAAAATATTTATCTAGAAATTAGAAGAAAAAAAAGAAACCTATGCTGAAAGTGGAGTTTCAATATTCTCCCAGTCTGAACCATTTGCTGTGCTAATATTAACACCAATCATGAAACGCGCCCATGACTTACCTTTATCAAAAAAAATAGTATTTGTTGACTCAACAAGTTCATGTGATCCACAGAACCATTGTGTAACTTTTTTATTGACACCATGTGCAGCTGGCGCCGCTCCTTTAGGTGTGATAATTACACATGGTCAGAGTGAAAAAGCATATAAAAGTGGATTCAGTCTAATTAAGAATAATGTAAAAAATGCATTTGGAGGACAAGGCTATCCTTCTATATTTTTAACTGATAACTCTGATGCCGAAATAAATGCTTTAATGACAGTATGGCCAAATTCAACTTCACTTTTATGTATTTTTCACGTTATGCAAGCAGTTTGGAGATGGTTATGGGATAGCAAAAATAGCATAAAGAAAGAACATCGGACAATAATGATGCAAGCATTTAGAAAGATGTTATATTCTGATACTACTGAAGAAGCTCAGAAAGCATTTAACTCTACCCTTGATGCAGGTAGCATGTATCCAAAATGGCAGAAATATGTAATTGTACATCACTGGGAGCATAAAGAGCGTTGGTGCTTAGCTTGGAGGGACCATACAACTAGAGGCCATCATACAAATAATTATAGTGAGGTGTCTGTTAGGATCTTTAAAGAAAATGTTTTATGCCGAGTAAAAGCATATAATGTTATTTCACTAATAGATTTTTGTTGCACAAAATTGGAAGAATATTAAAAAAAAAAATTCTTGAGTTTTCCAATGACAGAAAAGCTACGGCTCGCTTATATTTTGAAAGCATAATCAAGAAAAGTAATTATGTTACGAAAGATAAAATTATTGTAGAAAATGAGCATTACTATGTTCCTAGTCAAAATGATCAACAACTAATGTACTGTGTTGAGCCAAGTATAGGAATTTGCTCTTGTAAGGAAGGCATGTACGGTAGATTTTGTAAACACCAAGGAATAATTTATGTATATTATAAATGTGTGAGGGTTAATTTTCCACCTATAACTGTAGAGGATAAATTTGCAATATCAAAATTAGTATTGGGCGACAAAGCGCCTTGTAAGACATTTTATGAAGGGCTTATACCTAAAGAGGCATTACACCAGCAACTCGAAACTCATCCAATACACTTGCCTATATCAGAAACTCATGGGCCAGATGTAAATAATATACCTGAAAACAACTATAATATTACAAAAAAAAATGTATTCAAAAGTACAACAGTGCCCAATGAAGACAGTCTGATATCAAATACACAGGATAGTTATACAGTATTGGAAGATATAAAAACTCTATTGACTAACAATGTAAAACAGTTCAGCCAATCTACTCTTGAAAATTTACTTAAATTTAAAAATAGATTGGATAAAGTAAAAACAGAAGGGCAATTTAATACATTTTTGGCAACTGCTGGTTCTGAGGCAATACCATTACGGCGTAGAGAGGGTGCAGCTATTAGACTACAGCCGACTACAATTTCTAGGCGTAGACCAGGGATAACAAGAGGTAGCAAGCGTTTACCATCAGGTAATTTATAATAATAGACATATATAACAATAATATTGTGCCTTAACAAATTTGATTATCTTATAGGTAGACCAGCTTTAAGTGATCATGGTACATCTAAAAAAAAACCCAGGAAACTATTACAAAACATAAAACATTGTTTGCCTAACGGAAAATCTCATTGACTATATTATTAATTTATTATATTATTAAGATAATAAGTATAATAAATATAAGTAGAAATTTGTATTTATGTTGACTACTTAAATTAATTAAATGTATATATTTCATATTTTTGAATAGGTAAAAAAAGGTAAAAAACATTATATTATATAATAATAGAAATAATAATTCATAACCTATATGCATATTATTATCATCAAATACAAAAACAAAATAGCATACATACCTACTTATTCAAATAGTAGTAGTTTAATAGTACCTACCTAATATGAATACAATTTTTTTGTATTTTATCTTGCTTAGGTTTATCAATTGGGGGCCTAAAATAAATATGTCTACTACATGGTTATGAAATAAATGTTTAAAAAAAAAAGTTTAAGATTTAAATATCTTTTGTCTAGGACAAATTAGAATGGGTTTGTTAAAATGTGTTTCTTACAGTTATTACTTTTTTTAGTTTCAAAATATGTGCAATAACAAAGACACCATTGTCTATTTCCAGAATGTAGCTATAGGTACCAAACTTAATATACGATATAATATTTTAATATTTTTAAAAAATGTTATGTTAGAACTTGTATTAAATATGTGTACCTACACAAAATTAATGCATAAATACATTAAATAATGAACGTTATATTATATAAGACTATTGTAATAAATCAATATAATGTCAGTTGATAAAGTATAGCAAAAATAAATACCTATAAGTATTTAAGTTGCCTGCTTAAAATAAGGTTAGGTACCTTGGCCGTTACAAAGGTAATAAACATTAAATCATATAATAATAGAAATAATAATTCATAACTTATATGCATATTATTATCATCATTAATCATTATAATATAATATTATATACTATTTGTTATAATAATTAATAATTTAAATTTTCCCACCAAATGTGTAAACCAATCAGAAGGCAGGATTTAATCATGGGTTTTATTTCGTGTGCAGAATGGTAATATGCTGCCCGGTGTTGTGTTCTCGCTGCGCGGTGTGTACGGCGTACGCTTGAACTCGGGAGCAACCTCCGAATCCTCCCACCACTACTTCACTGTATATAGTTTCCCGGGAGGATACAATAGTTTTATGAAATATAATTTATTAATTAGTAGTCCACTGTACGCCGGCTAAAGTTGTTTGCCATTACCGTGTGCGTCATATATTATAATATTTTATGGGGTATTTCATTTTTTTTTTAATAAAGATTAAAAGTACACCATGGAGTGATACACCTGGAAATCCCTCCCGCGGTGAGCCTCACCGACGGGCAAGATCTAAGGGGAAACACTGCGGAGACGCGTAGACCTCCATTGGGTAATATGTATTATTTATATGTTTATTTGTATGCCTTGGCCGGCCCCTTTGTGTTTTATCCCTATTTTCACAATAGGTGAATACGGTATTATTACTATTATCATTATTATTCTTACTGTCAATTGTTATTATCTTTATATTCATACATTGGTAATGTGGTGTGTGTATATCACGGGGTGACGAAAGCTCCCGTCGAAATTATTATTATTTTTGTTAATTTTCTGTTGTTGGAGTTTTACGCCAGTGAGCTTTCTCCACTAAAAACTTAAATAAATTTCCCCAGTTGATTAACTTAACTTTTGCTTTGTTTTATTGTTTTACCCTATTTTTTTTTTTTTAAATCCTACAGCCTCCTTCACCAGTATGGTGTTTTACGGGTCATAGGTTGGCGACCTACAATATATTGCCGGGCGTTACAGAGTTTCGACCTTGCCAGGATGAATTCCGAATTTTCTTGACCGTCAATTCGTTTCTTAGTTCCAATTTAGACATTTGTCGCGAGTATCGTCTACAATATTACGTGTGATAGGAAATACGTCGCTGAGTATAAATACCTGTATAGGGATAACAATTATTGTGTTATGTAATGAGCCGCGACCGCACAGTATCATTGTCGGAACGTTGATGGGCAATTATGATGTAACTGGTCAATTAAGAGGTGTGGACGCGAAGTCTGATAGCGCGCGGCGGCGTGACGGACCGTGTTAATATCATTATAATAGGCAAGATGATACGATACCTAATATAACAATAACAACATTACTTTAATAGTCGATATTGTTACGGCTCCAAGACTTTATCATTCCAATATTTATTATGCGTCGCTGTTATAATTACCTACGTTATATGCCGGCCATTGGCAATTGGCAATACCTATGCCGGTCTGATATGAATGCTTACGAGCCAGACTGTAGTGTACGGATACATATGCAATACGTTATTATGTCGTATGCACATATTATACGCATTATGATGATTTTTTTTGAGACAGTTTGTCCACACACCTATACAAACACCATGTACTGTCCGCACATTTTTTTTTCAGGAATAAATTCAAGACGTGTAATTGGTTGAACAACGATGAAGTCTATGTGTCGATTTTCATTGTTACGTCCCGGAGGTGTTGTCATCGAGTCTGCGTGGACCTGTCGCTGTCTGTCGAGTTCATGATGCCGGGTGGTCGATGGACGACATTGGATTGCGACACTGCGATCATCAATGTACGGTCCAGTAGCCGTCTCCGATGGTGTGGCGGTGTTTTTCCGGTATTTTAAGTTAATTACTACCTGTGCATGAATGCCTGAGGTGCCTGTAACAGAATTATTATAAACCTTTTATCCATCGAGTCGAATTGTATGTCGCAGCTACCATTCACCGATGCGCTTAATTTTAGAACGTTACCATACATCCGAATATGTTGTGAATATAATATAGGCATTGTTAATAATTTTGTAATTGGTTGTTGAGTATTGGTTTTCATTATCGTAATATCGAAATGAACATGTATACCTATTTGATTTTCCTTGTCTTACGTTTTTGTAAGCTAGGAGCGCTCGTTTCCGAAGTTTTTGCTGGACGATGTGTTTTTTTTTTATATACAAAATATTTATTAGTCTTATCTTCAGTATTAACAATATTCGGATGTCCCTGTAATGCACCACTGTTAGTCCCGCTCTCAGGTATTCATTGTAGTTTTAAGTGCCCACTATTTGTATTCCCAAAATAGGTGCACGACGTTGCAGCAATGCGTTACAAGTGTGTTTGAGATCTGTAAGTATACGTTATTTTCTTGAGTGTATAATTCGGCATTCTTTATTAATACAAGTGTCCGTTGCATTTCAACCAAATTTTATTCCAAAGTCTTTTGTTTCCCTAAGAAGGAATAAATATGATTTTAAACAGAATGCGTATCTATTCCGTAGATTGAATACCATTGTGATACTCGGTACCTTGATTTTTTTATTATGTTTTCTATTTTACGAGTGATTTCTGTTAGTATAATATTAGTTGTATTGTACCCATTTTTTTTATACATCTATATTTTCCGGCCAAGGATACTTACCCTATGGCACACTTGTGCCCCAGATCTTGCCCGGTTTTCACCGCAGGAGAGATTTTGTTTGAATAATTATTATACCTTATCTGTTTTGAGTTTCTGAACTTGGTACGCGATATCAATTCTATATAAATTCTATATTTGTACGAAATTCTGTTTTTTTATTACTTCGTGATTTTTTTTTAGTTACTATTTTACCGTGGTCGAAATAGTACTTACATTAATTTGAATGTTTATTTCGGCGTTATTGTTATCATAAAATTTTTTTCTTCTACGAATCGATTTTTAGTTATCCAATACGTATCTGTGTTATATTGTGTTGAGAGATTTATTGTATTTGGGATCCATTTTTTTTTTGCACATTTGTTGTTGTGATCTCTGTCCCATCAAAAGTTCACGTTTCCTTCATTCAGTATATGGCCTCCAATGCAGGACAACGCAAAACTAATCCTCCTGAAAGGCTCATTGACCAGGTACTGCAAGTCGCCCCAACCATCATGCCGACCTCAGAACCCAATAATTCCCTTTCGGAAACACCCAAAGAGGTTACCTTGGCGGATCTCATGGTCATGATGAAGCAAATGCAAGAGGAAACCAGAACTACACAAAAGGCACGTTTTGATCGTCTTGATGATCAATTTAAAGTTATCCAAAATAATTTGAGTCAACACGACACACGGATATCTAAGGTGGAGAAGAATGTGTCTGCGCTACATAAAAATCAGGTCGATCAGCAAGCCACAGTCAAGTGCTTGCATGTCAAGTGAGCCATTGTGCTAACCAGTAAAAAATGGTAAGCGTATCATGTTGCTCACTTACCATTTGTGTGACTGGAACTTGGTAACTATTTGTATTTAGCACTGCTTCGTATAAAAATACAAGCTGAACCCGTGCACTTCGTTGCCCCTTAAATGTACCAATTCTATATATGACTCAAACTTTGTTCAATTCGTTATTTAATATTCGGTGTATTAATCTTAACTTTTCCGTTGCTCGGAATAAAAATTCTGATTCGCAGCAGTATATTATCAGGTAGGCAATCTACCTGCGGTAGATCGCGGACCCCTAGTTTGTACGTAAGTGTATGATTTAACCCTAAATTATCAAAGTTATATCAAGTTTGTCGTATTCTACCTATGGTGGATTAATATAATCAATTAATACAAAATCCTAACCTAACCTTTTGCGTCACTGTTGTATTTTTGACACCCAGATTTCCTACTTATCCGGTGGATTTTCCTAAAATTTTGTTTCATTATAACCTTATCCGTGATATACTCTTTCGTTTAAAAAAAATCAAGAAGATCTGATAAGTAGTTCCAGAGTTGACTCTGTAGAATGATTTTCATTACACATCTATGATATATATAGTTAGAATATATAATATCCACAGTAATGTTTCATAGATACATACACTTATTATAGATACCTGATTTTATTATATTATGATTATTATGACTATATAATATAGTACCTATTTATTTTGAGGGTGGTCAACGATAAGAGAGTCGCTAGCCGCACAATATAACGACAACAAATATGAAGAACAGGAAAAGGAATAATAACAACGCTAGCCGCATGAGTCTATGACGTCAGCCGCGGTATGGCCACCTCTGCTATATTGTTGTTACACATTATTATGTGTAGTGGTAAAACCGTTTAATTTTATAAAAAGTATACCTATATATGGGCTATGATTAGTTATTAGTTATACCATTGCTTATAGTATTATTGTATATTATATCCTCAAAAAAACTACTTCGGAGAAGTAAAAAAGGCTTTCTGTGCGTAAGTTGAAGAGATTGGGAGAAAAGATAGAACTTTGGTGTTAATAAAGATGTGAAATCAATCTCAAAGTTCTGTGCCAAAAAGGGCCACGGTTGAAAAAATAGAATTTGGGGCTTAATAAAGAAGTGAAATCAATACCCAAATTATGTGCCTCAACTTGAAAATTATCTTATTCAAAAAAATTTCGAGATGTTCAACTGTACAAACATTAAAAAAAAATATTAGCACAGAACGGCGTACAATAATGATGAATTAATAAAATTAGCCATAAATTGTCGACTTGTTTACGAGTTAATCTGTTTGATTCGAATTTTTGTTGACAAACTGTAATTCACGCCGTTCTGTGCTAATATTTTTTTTTAATGTTTGTACAGTTGAACATCTCGAAATTTTTTTGAATAAGATATTTTTCAAGTTGAGGCACATAATTTGGGTATTGATTTCACTTCTTTATTAAGCCCAAATTTCTATTTTTTCAACCGTGGCCCTTTTTGGCACAGAACTTTGAGATTGATTTCACATCTTTATTAACACCAAAGTTCTATCTTTTCTCCCAATCTCTTCAACTTACGCACAGAAAGCCTTTTTACTTCTCCGAAGTAGTTTTTTTGAGGATTTCAATTATTTTTCCGAAGCACGTTTTACTGTGATATACTGAGGTTTATCGTTTATATATTATATTATATTTATGGATTACATTTTTTCTAATTATTATTTTTATTTGTGAATAATAATTCTATAAAAATAGAAATACAATATAAATGTTTATAATTATATAATATATAATTTGTAACGTTCAGTGTAGTTTAAGGTCAGTTGTAAATATATGTTATATTTACATTACTATATTATCGGGTATTGGTAATGCGCCGCGCGTCAGTGTACAAAATCTCCCGCACCACCGCCGCACCCACTACCACCTCTGCCGCAATCACACTATTATATATTATATTACCAGCCTCCCACTAATTTATTTATTAATTTATTGATTTTTTCTCTTCTTCGTCTTCCTGCTGCCTACGGTGACACTAGTCCCGGGTTATTATTTTTACCACGGTGTTGTGTTTTTTTGGCAACATGGAGTAGCGGCCGTTGGAGTTTTCCCCGGCGATGCCCGCGGAAAAGGTGGCGTTAGTGGTGAAAACGGGTAATCAGACATCGACGGGTGTCTGGTTCCTTGACCGTGTATACACTTAATATGTACGTATGATTATTGGTATTTTTGTGTATCTGGCCGGTACAAATGTACAATATGTTTTAATATGCTTTTTTTATATTATTATTACCACCGTCTGTTCGGATTATGGTTATTGTTATTATTGCCGTTACTTTTATTAAGACCGAGTTTTACGCCCGCCCGAGCTTTCTCGGCACCAAATTAATATAACCAACTCAAAACACCTTATGCCGTCTATTGAGTTTTTATTTATTATTATTATTACTGTCACCCATATGTCCATCATCCTTTGAGTATATATCATTAAATTACTATGCTAAAAAAAAAAAAGAAAAGAACAAGAAAAGAAATCCACGACGCTCCGGCGGCCCTTCTGGTCTCGGCTCGTGGTTGGCGGCCTTGCGCAAACCGGCGGGTAACCACATGACTCTCGAGCCATGAGTAATATGTCTCGAGTTGTCACAAATTATTAATTATAAATTTATATTGATAACACAATTATTTAATAATAATAATTATTATTATAGTATTAAAATAGTAATAATAGGTACATATTTACGTAGCTGTTGTTTTGTAACAATAAATCGCGTAAAATAACGTATGTAATAATGTAAATGCACGAGACCTCGGTATCGCAACAACGCGAGTACGTAAAAAATATTTTATAATATAATAAAAATACCTAAATAATAATTAATATTAATTCTGCAAACGTAAAACTAGCTATATAGCTGTAAATAGCTGTTGTTGTGGGTGAGGTTCGCGGTACGGTAGCGGCCGGCGCGTGGCGGTTGCTACGGCGCGGCGTTGGATGACGTTGCTATGACGGACGAAAGAAAAAGACTCACAAAACTGCAGTTTCTAGCTCTGTCTCTCTCGCACTCTGCATTCAACCAATGCGTGCGAGTGAGAGGTCCGAGAACGAAACTTAATGTATAATAGTCTCGCTATCGGTTGTCAAGGTGCTGTTTCTTATCGGTGTTACTTATGCACAGAAAGGAGTCTCTAGCGAGACTCTTCGATATAATATATTGACAAAAAATAACAATCAACAAAGATGCCCGTAACCAATAGCAAGCAATTGTGTATTAAACTATTATTATTTTAATTCTCAACTTAATTTTTTTTATTATTATTATTTGTTATTTAGTGTGCACCTTAAGAGTCCATAACTCCAGAACCACTTATCGCACAGCATACAAACTTCATGATCGTCGGCCAATATTTTGTCGTTTTGGTCGTGGCATTTTTTAACGCCTAAATCCATACAATTGAAATTGAATAAAAATCAATCTCGTTTACTCTCAAACCAATTAATATTTATCTAGAAAATAGAATTGTTGTTGTCATGTCAACAGACGTTTTTTTCATTTTTCATACATTTTGTTGTTGTTTTTGGTCATGTCGCCAGGTGTGCACTTATGAGGCCATAACTCCGGAACCATTTATCGCACAGCGTACAAACTTCACAGAAACCATCTACATATCAATCTTAATATGCCCTGAAATTTTTATCGAAATCGGTTCGGTGGATCTTGAGCTATAAGATTTATTCAAAATGAACACTTATTTTTATATATATAGATATGACCTGATAAAATACTTTGTTTTGTTCTATTTATTTTTTTTATCAAACCTCCCGTAGCGTCAATCGATAAACGGCAGTACGATTTTTGAACGCGCTTATATATAATAAGTTGCGAAGGCGTCCAATATTGAATAAATAGTTTGGATGCAGATATTGTATGGATAGAGCCTGCATATTTCCTATACTTCAGTTCAATAAGTGATTTAATTGGACAGTTTTCGGTGATTCCTAAAGAACTGTCTATATACTGCTGCTTACACTTCCATAGCACAGAGTTGTTATAAATATTGGGGGGTAAGTGATCACCGAACTCAATAGAGGAAACGGCCTGTCTTCGCCAATTTCCGGCAGTATCTTTCGATAACGATTTTCCTACTCTAGATCTTTTATATCCGTTCAGTGGTCTTTTCGGATAATCCTCTTCCCAAGAACCCTTGTATCCTCGGTTTCTATGAATAACTTTAACGGAAATCCTTCTTGAGGTTTACGATCTGACCAACCATGTAAATATACCCCGAAATCCTTGAATTTTCCTTGAAATATAAGAAAATGTTCGAAGAATCGAAGAATTATATACTCTACATCTTTTATATATGTATGTACATGGCATTTTATAATTCTTTAGAAACTCATAATTTATTATATTTGTCCAGACACCTGGCTTTAATGTAGTATACGCCTTTTTTTTATTTTTTACCCCATACATTACGGTAGTTGGTTTCATTTTAATAAATTTACGATAAAAAATGTCAATACTGAAAGTTTTAACATTTTTTTTTATATTAATTGAAGAATTAAATATTATTGATGAATTTGAACTTTCATCATCTGATTTGTTTTTAATAATTGTAGATGGTTGACGTAAAGTTGGATAATTTCCATTATTTTTCAAACGTGATAACCATGAATGGCGATCTTGAAATACAGAAATGTACAAGCTATGAGTAGTGAAAGACATTTTTTAAATTAAAATTTAAAAACATAAAAATAATTTAGTATGTTTATCACAGCTACTGGTGGTACCTATATAATAATATAGTACCTAGTAAATATAAACTACTGTAGATTGTAAATACTATCTATATTTTTAAACAATAGTGAAATAAGGTCGATGCTCGATCTTAACCGATATTTGCTTATTTTAGTTTACGTATATTATTTTTATATAATATATTCTATGATTTTTATAATTTCTATATTTTTTTTTTTTTTAA